AGGGGAGGGGGGTGGGGGGATGGGTTAGCCTGGTGATGGGTATTAAAGAGGGCACGTTCTGCGTGGAGCACTAGGTGTTATGCACAATGAATCATGGAACGCTACATCAAAAACTAATGATGTAATGTTTGGTGATTAACATAACAATAAAAAATTTAAAGAAGAAAAAAAATAAAAAAAAAATAAAATAGAAATCTAAAAAAAAAAAGTTCCCTTTCCTTTCTTCCTAAGAGACAAATCAGTCCCAACCAAGGGGAACAAGGAAAGGAGGAGACAGGCTGTATTTACTGAAAGCCGCAGAGGATGCTTGGTAAGTTCGGTTCTCGGTCCCGGTGTCCACTGGGAGGTGGAAGGTGCCTTCAGTACCACAGGAAGACGAGTTCTGTGGCCAGGCCTGTTTCATCAGCAGAGTTGCTTAAGGGAAGACACAAGAATGGCATTAGGCAGAAATAAGAAGTGGGCACCACAATCACAGACACAAAGCAAGGGTCTTGTGCTGGATGGAAACATATAACCCAAGGGGCCCTGTTCAGACACACAGGATGGTTCAGCCTTTCTGAGATGGGTGAGTGGGTTGGGAGGAGTGCTGAAGTGAGCTTCCGAATGATCTGAAACCAAGGAAATCTGAGCTTACCCTAAGAGAGCCAGGATTTTCTACCCACTACCAAAAACCATGAAGATGCTTATGAATCCCACCTCCTACTGCCTGACATTCTGGCCTAGGCTCTGGGATATTCCTTAGCCGCTTTCTTATTAATATGCAGCAACTTGGGAGCCTCTGACCGTGTACTGGGCCAGATCAACTGAGTACTCATTTTTTATGCCTGAAATCTCACGTGGGGGGCGGTATTTAATAAGTTGTTCTCAAAGAGAGACCTCAAGAGAGTTACCACGTGATATGAACGTTGCTGGACTGTCATCTCTTCTGAAGGGACTGAGCTTTGGCAGTTCAGAAGGCACAGGTTGTCCAGTGAGGCACTTCCCACTCCTCCTCCTGTACACCCAGCTAGGGCCAGACAGATAAACCTCCTACACACCCCTTTTATACCTCCTGGGGAGGTGCTGCTGCTGCCCCACTTGAGATGTCCCCTCATGAATTAGAGAGGATCTGCTGGGCCATTAAGAAATTCTACGTCAAACTTGGGGCAGGTGTAAAATAGAGATGCGGCCCAGTTTGAAAGAAATCTTCAGAGACTTCCCAGGCTGACCTGAAGCTCAGCTTGAGAAATTTGAAGGATGATGCTTCATATGATCTAGAAGTGGGGAATGACTCAAAAAACTTACCTTCATGGTATCCTGTGGGAAAGGAGAGAGGAAAGAGGGTTTCAAAGGGGGGAAAATGCCTAACTTTTAGAGATTTCTCTTGATATACTTTCTCCTAGAGGAGAAACCATTTTTGACCCAAATTTCTACTTAGAGTAGGAAGAATAATTTTAACAGTATCTTTTGCACTCAAATAAGATCTTGGACATGAGGGGTTTTAAAGAACATTAGCAGGATGGGGGCTACACTAGCAACAGTTGTATACACTTGAAACATTTTAACAAGGGGCTAAGGTAAAGCAGGGTGGCATGAGAAGTATGCCTATACACCCTAATTCCACCAAGGCAAGGGCAGTCCACCTCCAGAGAGATCCCATAACCCCTCTGCCCAACCAGGTAACAGGTAATGCCTCTGATTCCTTCAGTCACGGAAGTACTGGGGCCAGAGGAGGAGGTCAAGGACTCCGTTGTTTTGCCGAACTAAGGCTAGAAGTGTAGCTGTTCTGGGCTGACACTGCACTTGCGTTAATGGCCCGCAATATATACAGCAGATGCCGAGAAATGAGAAGGAAATCATGGGCAGGAAAGTGACACTAAAAGGAGAATTCTGGCAGAAGAAATGGAGATCCAGCAGAATTCCATGCAGAGTCCAAAACCTTTGCTGGATATCAAGACATGGCTCTGTGGACGGACAACCTGGAGGAGGGCAGTCAGTTTTAAACAATTATCTTAAGGTTTCCCTTCCCCGGCATGGGGGAGGGGGGTTGGGATTAATAAAGGATCCAATTAGTGTTGAAACCTCTTATCAAGATGTCTCCAAATTTAGAACCTGCCACTCAATGTGGCTGGAAAGCCCTGGTCACTCAAAACAACTCCCTAAAAAGTAAAACATGTAGTTCTGAGAAGTCACATGTCCTCAAGACCCCATAGGGGCTCCATAAGGAAGCAGGAGGCCTGAATTTAGCCACAGAGAATTTGGGTGTCCTGTTCCAGTCCAGTTTTTTCCCCAAGTGGTGCATACTTTTCATCATAAGCCAAAAGTCTGACATTAGTCTGAAGGACTGCATGACAAAGTAAATCAAAATTAACCAAAGAGTAACTGAAGCCTACACTGCACTCAGCACTGAGGGGAGTGCCACGGTGGACAGGAACACACGTGGGTCATGGTCACTGCACACAAGGTATGCATGGGCCAGCTGGGGATGCAACACAGCCACACGCCAACCAGAGAGTGAACAAGACAGCATTACACACAATAAAATAACATTCCAGATTAACCAGGAAAGAAGCAAGTGCGACTGTGCCTTTGATTATGTCTTATCTAACTGAGTGAACTAAACTACATATGTTCTTGAAGACGTGCATATTTTCTTCTGGTTTCATTGAAAAAGAAAACAAATACTAGTATTTTCTCCATTTCTCTATATTTTAATACTTAATAATTTAAATAATTGGACAAATATCAAGACCAGGAAAACCAACAAATATTAGCTGTCAACCTGACTTCCTCATTGGTTGGTTGTAGCATATGATCTTCATCTTCCATGTACAATTCTAAAGTAATCCATTCTGTTGGTGGTAGCAATTCAGAGCTCAGTTGTGGGATGAAGACAATCCAACGGAAACTTTGGAGGCATAGTAAGAGAGGAGGCTACTCTGGCAGGCATGCCTGCTCTTGGGTACCATGGAAGGTACCAACTTTTAGAAATGTTCTATATTTGGAACTGGGTGGTAGTTAAATACAAGTGTATACATATGTCAAATATTACTGAGCTGTACATTTGAGACTAGTGCACTTTATGTACTACTGTATATGTTATTCCTCAATTCACAAAGGAGAGAGAGACAGAGACAGAGAGAACCCTTGGCAGTGAAGGGCCATGGCCCAGTCACAGCATGCTGCCCACATCCAGGTGCTGGGTTGTTCACTTCCTGGGATACGGGGCCCTCTCGCCCTCTGACACTTGGAACAATCTGTTAAGCACACTTACAAGGAGGAGAGGCAGCAAGGGACCATCATCCTGAATAATGCAGTAAGTCAAGAAATCTGAGTTCTAGCCTGGGCTGTGCCACTTATTAGCTGGGGGATCTTGGGCAAGTCACTTAACCTTCCTAAGCTTCAGTTCTGTTGTCTCATAACATAGCAGTAATACTCTCTCCCTGACTGCTTCATACTGTTCACGTGAGGATCAAAAGTGAAGTGTCATCCAGTCTTAGAGTTTCTAATGTTGGCATCTGCTCATCTTCCATCCCCATAGTTATGGACAGCTCTAATTTCAGTTCTCATCATCTCTTAACTGAACTACAGCAACAGCTTCCTCATCGTTCTGTTTTTAAACCTGCCAATTCCAATCTCCAAACTGCAATCAAGAGATATTTCTAAGACCCAAACTTAATCACAAAATCTTAAAAACGTTCGATGGTTCTCCACTCCTACAGGCTAAGGCTGAACTTCTTGTACGGTATTCAAAGCCCCTCAGGATCTAGCCCTGTGATCTCTCTAGACTCTCATTGTTCTCACTTTCCAACCCTACACTACAGCCACACAAACTTTATCATTCCCAGATTATGCCAAGGAGTGTCACAGTCACATCTCTATATTTTTGCTCACATTGTTCACTCTTCCTGGTATGTCTTTCCCCAAATGCTACCTGGTAAAAATTTATTAATCCACCAATCATGAACTTGCCTCTACTATGAAGTCTTTTCTTTTCCCACCCTTTGACCACAGTCCCTACACATATCCCATATGGTTCGCTATCCCAATTTCTGTGATTCTTAGAACCCCTGTACTTGCTGGCTCATGTGTCTCCCCGACTAAACTGTGAGCTCCTTCAGAATAGGGACCTTGTCTTATGGTCTTTATCTTTAAAGGGCCAGTGTAGGGTCTGGCACAAAACATTTTGTGAAGAGAAGAGCTCCACGCATACTTTTTAGTATTTCTATTTCAGATGCTTTAACTAGAGGGGTAAGGAAGCATGAGAGCTTCTCTCACTTTTTATGGAGTCTTCTGTCCAAGTTCATATATCCTGAGGCAAACAAAAAAATGAGAAACAGGTCTGTGACTAGCAAAAATTAAAATAATACATAAGAGGATAGGCTGTTAACATTTAAAGGGACCTAAGAGATCATCTGGAATAAAACACTACCTATGGCCTGGAGACATTAGCAAATTGCCCAAGATCACACAGCCCACAGCAGCAGCAAGGAGAAATTTCCACAGCTCATCTCCTGAAAGATGCGCCACACACAAATTCAATATTCAACATCCAAATAATTCAAGGTTAAAAGTTGAGAAAGTGTGCAGAGATTTTAATGAAAACATTGTCCTGAGCAGCCCAGGTGAGGGTAGTGAAAGTAGCAAATCCCTCCCATGGTCCCTTACTGTCTGTGACAAAAAGGACCTAGTCCAGTTACACTGCTGGGACCCTCACAGGTGCCCAGAAGTTCCCGTGGTGCCTTGGGCCTGGAGTCCACACTGCCCATGGGACCTCACTTATTTAGCACACTTGGCCCTCACCTCTCACCATCCAGGAAAATGCCCTGAAAATGAGCCAGAGCTCAAGATCCGGGCTAAGGGAACAGATTGTATCTAAAGTCAACCAGGTCTTCAAACATGTCAGACTGCCAATGGAGATGGAAAATCTGATCCTGGGGCAGACTGTTTTTTCGGGTTCTTATAGGCATAATCCAGGTACTCCTCCACAGGGGCTGCCACAAAGCCAAGAGAGGAGCCATACAGGCTGAAGAATTTTGTTCACTGGATTGTTTGAATTCAGCAGCCAGGTTAGGATGAAAGTTTCTGACCTAGGTCAGATGGGACCCCGGAGGTGAGGAAGGGGAAAGACGCCTTTTAGTGCCATGATCCTTCATTGCTGCCCTAGGGGACGGTTGATGTGTGTCTCCAACCCATGATTTTGCACCATCAGACATGTTCCTGCATGCTTTAGGAACTGCTGCTGAGCCACCTGGGGGAGCCCAAGCCTAAGGGATGGGATTTGGGAAGGGAAGGAGAGGGGATCTACCGTTGTTACGAGATAACACATTCATAGGCCATAATACAGATGAGGAAAAATAGCTCTCCTACCATAAGCTGAATGCAGGAACTGAAATTCTGTTGGATAGAAATGTTAGTTGAAATTACCACTAAGA